AGGTCTTGCCCAAGCAAGCCTTGGAATGTACTCCTCAAGGGAACCCTGGCAATGCTGATGCAGCGTATTGGCAGATGCGGTGAAAATGAGTAGGAGGTGAAACGCAAAGCTCAAAATTTGTGGTGATGGAGAAATTCAGTGGACGCCCTCTTTGCTATGTAGGGTACCTAGGAACCCAGTCTTATTTACGATATAACAGTAATTTATCTATTTAGGGTCCAGTGACAACACACAACTATACACTATAATTACGCTGCTATACAACAAAAAAAGTTTTATTCAAATCCCTTCATTAGTTCCTGAGATTTGCACTCGACTAACAGACAAATAAACAAAAATGTTATTGTTTTCAAACCTGTACTTGCTATTGTTTCCTTGTGAACTTATTTTTGGTTTATTGCAGAAGATTATTTAATCCAAATGCACATTTTTTTGTTTAATTTCAATGTAGAAGAGCCAAGCATCGCTTCGATTGAGTGATTTTAAACAATTCCCAATCCTTCCTTTAAATCCCTAAATCAATAATGATATCAATATCAAAACGCTTTATCACTGAAAGCCCAGAAACGCAACTGCAACTCCTCTGATGTTGCGGGTATCCTAAGATGACGCCGACTGCTTACCATCAGGTTTCCGTCCGTTGGATAACCACCGTATCACATGAAAATTTGCAATGGTTTGCTTAATTCGACAAATTAATATAAAACTTTGTCCTTTATATCACATTCTGCGACTACTAGATCATTAAATCAGTTATTAATATGAAACAACGGAATGAACTATTATTTACGAAGCTACAGCCAGTCGCGATGGAGACTCCGAGAAAAAACTGATTGAATTCTAAATTGCAGTGAGTCCTTAGTGAAGCGAGGAAGATCAATCGACATTTTGTTACTGCCTTATTGGAATTACTATTGATATTATAGACTACTATGAGTTAAGTTTGGCGAGTAATATATACGTGAAAACGTACTTGTTTTTCTGAGAAATAATGAAAAAAGACGGTGAATTAGTTCGGTAGACGATTCCAATTTTTTTCGTATATTTTTGGCTATTCATCAAATGTCTTCTTCTGGGAGAAAGGGAGAAAGGGAGAGTCAGACTCTTATTAAGTAAAAACCACCGCCTACATTTTCTTGCTCCAGGTCAGGACTGCGGTACCCTATTTTGCTATACTGAATAATGTTTTAATATGATACTGTAGTCGATATTCTTATATAATATCGCTCAAAATTTTATTTCAAACATAAAATACTGTTCCAAAAAAACACGACTTTTAGATATAATACAATTACAATAACTACCTTCATATTGTAAAAGACGAACAACAGAAATAGACTTCATTATAATAGCTCAGTAAGCAATTTTCAATGAACCGTACAGTTACAGAAACAGAGCACATTTTAGCTGAAATTGTAACAGGGATAATTCTAATGAAATTCCAGCAGGTATACAACATACATATTCACATTACATATCATTGTACTACGTGTTAATTAAAGGTCTGGTTAAAATAAAGGTCTGATAATAAGTGTGGGAGAATCAAGCTTCGACATGAATAAATCGTGTCGACTGGAGTGATACCGCGGCCTTACAGATAACCGGCGTGAGACTACTACAGCGTTGTATATCGCCGTGTAAGTGAAGTTAGCAAAGGGCCAATCCTATTTTTTCCTCCTGATTATTCTCCTCCTCAAATAATATCTACTGATTTATTTCGGTGCAAGATCCAAGATAGTCATTAATGTCCCTGGGACGCGCCGGACTTCAGTGTTCCGGTGTTTTCATGGTTGTATCTACTGTAGACCCTGGCTTACAGGAGTTGCAGCAGTTTTGGGAAGTTGCGGCGGGTATCCCAAAAACAAAAAAAAAGGGCCAATCCTTACCTTACCCACATTCCCCCCCCCCCCTCCCCCATCCCCCCTATTCTCCGAAATCCTAATCCCCAAAAGGCAACGCACTCGTAACTAAGGAATTACACCGAAGGATGTTTATGGCCGGCACCGATTGCTTATTATAAACTTATAAAGTATTCGGAATACACGTTTACTGAACTATCACATAAAAAATTGGTTACGATGATAATGGAGTTATGTCGTCTAAGCATTTATCTCCAACACAACTCTTGCCGGAGTCGTAAAAACTAATTTTCCATATTATTATTTAAAATTAGTCTAGACTTTAAGGGAGAATGTCCTCTTAATTGGTTTCGGTATTTCTTTTCTGAGTATTCGAATAGAAAATACTGGCTTCATCGGTAGTATTTTTATAAAATTTTGACGCGTTAATAGAGCTGTTTTATGGTAAGTATAATGTAGGTAGGACATTATACTTATTACAAAAATCGTTGTTTCAATTAATGGACATTTTACTAAAGATATACCTATAGTGAAATCTTTAAACGATTATATCAAACAATCCAAATCCAAGCTAATATTATAAATGTGAAAGTAACTCTGTCTGTCTGTCTGTCTTTTCTTCACGCCTAAACTACAGAACCTATTTGTGTGAAATTTGGTAAAGACGAAGTTTGGAACTCTAGAAAGGACATAGAATGGTTTTTAAAACCAAAAATCTGCAGGAAGTCTCTATTCGACGCGAACAAAGTCGCGGACAAAAATATAAAACTTCGTTTTGAATATATAAAATGAAATAAATATAGAAAATATAGATAGACAGGGTCACTTTCGCATTTATATTATATTAGTATAGATTATGTTTATATGTAGATTATTTAAATAGTGAAGAAAATCACATAACAAAACAAAAAGAAACCGTTCTAAACTATACAAAATTAAAGTACACACATAAAAATGGATTAACCCTATTGTTGATAATATTGTTTTAATAATATATTATTACTACATGTATCGCGCGTCCGCCCGATAACAACGTGTCGCTTCCTTCACGATCTGTTCTGTGTGATACGGACAAACTTGTGCGTTTACACAAAATATTCAATCAATTTTTTTTTTTTTTGTAACCAACTTAATGGGAATTATGTTGCAGGGCTTTTGAACTAATTTGTAATTAGACCTTCTTACAAAATTAATGATTTTTTTTAGACTATTTTTTTATGGGATAATGTGTAATGGGAGCAGACGGATTACCTGATGGTAAGCAATCGGAGCCGCCCATGGACACCCGCAACACCAAAGGAGTTACGAGTGCTTTGCCGGCCTTTTGGGGATATGCGCAAGCATAATATAAGGATCGGGAAGGGATAGGGAAAGGGAACGGATTGGGCCTCCGGTAACCTCACTCACACGGCGAAACACTGTGGGTTGTTTCACGCCGGTATTCTGTGAGACCGTGGTATCACTATCTCTACTTTTATAATTAGATCGTCTTTTGTTTTACAGTTTTATTTTAGTAAGGTCTGATTTTTCAATAGTCATATACCTAAATGTTATCTGTGGAAGAAAAGTGTTGCTGTCACTGTCTTACACAAACATTCTGAAGCGACAGCATCATAATAATTCCCAAGGTAACTTTTATCTTACCTGTAAAATATCAGCCCTTAGTGAAATAATGCCTTAATTTTATTACAGTGAAAATTGGTAGGTACTAATTATTACATAGCATAAAATAAAGTCGTATTCTTTCTCTTCTCTGTCCCTATATCCATATTAATGCTTTGCACCTTTAAAACAACACAACGAATTTTGATGCGGTTTTTTAATAGATAGAACGATGGAAAAAAGACGTTTCATTTGTATAAAGAAATCCATTATATTACTGTGCGGAAATATCAGCATTGCATCCTAGCCTTTTGGCTATTTTCATCAAAATCCATTCAGCAGTTTTTACGTGAAATAAGCATCCATCGATCTATTTTTAGATTTCATAAACAAAAACAATTACAAGTTTAAATATAAATAACAAACAATAAATGTTTCATTAATATGTTTTAACATAATTTATGTTTCGTTTACACAAATTCCATCTCTATCAGGATTTATTACCATACGCTCCATTAAAATATATATGCAACAAAATGTATTATGAACTTCATTTATTTTTAAATTTATCGTCAACGATTATATCCAGGAAGCGAATAGATAAAATACATATGTGACTGTTTAAAACAGTTCTGTGGCTCCAGCGTAGTAATGAACACGGTGGAACATTCCTTTTTTGAAATAATTTAAAAATAATATTCTTATCCAGCCTCCTTTGTGACAATGTTAAGGACTATTGTTTGTGTTTTGTTTTTTTTATTTTGTAACAATGTGCAGGGTGAAAATGTTACTACGTTTGTGTATACGTCAAACAGTAAGTTTTAAAAATTTATAATATTAAAATATCAGTAAAAATAGTTGTGTCACATTAATTACGGGTTTAAAAAAATATAATCACCACACGTTATATAGTTTAATAATTACTTTTAGTCCCGTTTTACACAATGTGTAAGCGTGTTGAAGTCGGAGGGAAATCCTAGAATAGGGATTATGTTTGGTATGAAAACTAAACATTAATTTAATGCGCCCAAAATACTTGCAGAAAAATATGAGCCCGGTATTATTATATTTGGTCGTTAAAAAAAGAGAAATACTTAGATTAAACAAATTTAAGTTTAGAAGGGAAACTGCGTCGTGGTCTGCCACGCGCGCTCCGAAGAGCCTATAGACCACCACAGGTGGGGCCTAATTGGGCCGATGCAAGACACCTGCTTAGGATCTTAGGGCTACACACACTGGAACATTTTGCTATATCTAAAGACCGCATTAAGCACCAAGATTGTGAAAAAACGCTTGGAAGAGCTCGACCGGAGCGATCCTACGGTCTGACATAAAACCAGCATAAAACAACCACAGCGTTGTTTTTGCTGTCAATGAGAACGAACTACACTCCCATTATAATAAACATTTGGACAATATTCATCTTTATCCTAAGATCACCACTAACATACCATAACATAATATTATGTTATATGCTAACAAACCATAAACATACCATATTTTTTGTCACCAGTGGGCAAACAGTGCAAGGAACATATCTGCCAGGATGGGTATAACTACAAACTGTTCTACAGCGTAGACACGGATAACTTGAAAGCCGTAAGCAAAGATTCTGACACTGCCTTCGAAATGCACCTGGGCATACAAGCTACCAGCAATGGGCATATACTATTGTCCCCTGTCCTGAGGCCAGGGTACAACGACCCTGTGTATGAGATTGGTGAGTCTGTACATTTATCTACACTAATGTTATAAAGCTGGAGAATTTCGTTGGTTTTTTAAACGCACTAATCTCCAGAACTATTAGTTCGAATTGAATATTGTTTTGTGTTTGTGAATTTATCGAGGAAAGCTTTAGGCTATAAAGCATCACGCTACGATTTGTACGAGCCGAGCTAGCAGCGAGTGAAAGCGCGCGACAAAATCTAGTTTACGTTATATACCTACACACATGACAATATATTTATTCAATTATGTACAAAGGTAGAATTATGTGAATAGGTATGTATAAAATAAGACGGAACAAATCAAGTAGATGCTTTTGTTGTCAAAATTAAACACAAGTTTAAAAAAGGAAATAAGAACTGTGCAATATAAATGTTGTTGTTTTACAACAATTCATTTATTTGTTTTGCGAACATAGATTACTAAAGTACCTACTTAAAGTTGCCAATTAAGATGGAATGTATATCACACAATACACGCCATCTAATCAACAAATGGTACAATTAACAAAATTATTAGTATGACAGCTGTCAAATCTGTCAGTGTCAACAATGACAAATTAAATTTTACGTCATTATTCCACTAAATAATGTCAGTTGCGTTGCGTAAATAGACCGCTATTACCTCAAAAAGCACCTATTACTCAAAAAGCATGAAATAGCTCGCGCCCTGTATAAACTAATTGACGAATTGTTCTATAATATCTACGAATACTAACATTTACATTTCAACGATCTCAGTTCAATGACCGCACAACCAAGAGGTGATGTCCGTCGTCCAAAATATTACTGTAACTAAATAACCGTACTCCTTAACTGAATTGTTGGGCAGTGGTCGGCGGCGGCGGTAACCAATTCACTGAACTAAGGAGGAACTTGAAGAGAAATGCCCGCAACTCGGTCAAAACACCAAGAATATTATCCAGTTTTGAAGTCCGAGGATTCTACATCAAGATATCTCATGGTAAGATTCTATTTGTTCCTATTTTATCAAGCAATCGCATTTACTTTCTTACTTATAAAATTATCAATTCACTAAACGTTAAAAAAATATGAAATAGTAACTTTTTTCGCGTAAATATCATATTATCCTATTTTTAATTATCTTATTCAGTAAGCTAAGTACTTTAACAATAAAAAATACAACAAAAATATCGATTCTATGAAACAAATCAACTTATTCATAAACTTTCACACATCTTTCCATATGGAAAGATACTAAATCCTACTTAAAATCAAAATAGTACACAATAAGTCCAGATCTCCAATCAGCATCGGTTGTTACAAATACCGTCGTTGTCATAGAAACCGTCAAAAACTCAACTCAACTGGTCCTTTTTATTTCGTGGTCGTGCCTGTCCCAATGCGCATTCAGCTTAACATGTGCCTTCACTGTAATAGCCTAATGGTGCCACCTGTCGCATTGAGCGCGAACTACCTGAAAACGTGACAGGAATCACGTTGAACGATTTCGAACATAATGGTAGCTTCTGTTACTCAAAATCGGATGTGGTCCTTTTGATATGAAAGTTACATCATATCGATATATCGGTCTTTTGAGGTGAATGTGGAATCGACACAATTTTTTTAGCGATACACTGGTAGTGGAAATTCTGTAAACTAGGATTTACAGTAGGTATGACCTTGAAAACACCGAAACACCGAAGTCTGCAGACTTGTTGTGTGTGACAGACAATGTTTTGGTCTTTCCAAGGTCATGGTGTAACTCAGGAACATGATAACCGGCTTAATCTTGTAAATTGAAATAAATTAGAAGATACTGTAATAGAAGAAGGAACCTAAATAGCTAACATTTCCCTGTGTTCATTGGTGTAGTGGATTTAATGCAACAGTTAGAATAAATAAAGCATTACAGGCATAGAGACTTCACAATCAGGAGAACCTCAGTAGCCAAGCACTTCGAAAATTTTACTGAAAGCTAACACTGATACAAAATTCTTAAAATATCGCTCAATTAGTTAATTTTTACAAGATATTTTAATAATTTAAAAAGAAACTAAGTGTTTGAAAAAAAATGTAAATTAAATTTAGTAACGAAAAATATAAACATGAACGGAAAAATACAAAACTTGCACACATATGTACAACCTGAACCGATGACAACACCCATCGTTATACGCGGTTTGAATATAACTAGGATAAAAACCCTCTATAAGTCTTCATATAACAAACGAAAGTTTTATAAATCACATTTTAGTAAATGACTCAAATGAAAAATGTGTCCAATAACTATACAAAACGATACTAAAGTCATTTGTTCGAAACGACACCCTACACATGGCAGAATGATTTTTCATAAAATAAATTTGAAGTAACGTGAAACTCGGATTTAACAAGCTCGCTTTTATTTAGAATCCTTTTTTGTATGCATGTGTTGTACTCTTGTTTAGTACATAAAGCTTGTTATAGAGAAATAGAATGTTTCAGTAACATCAAAATAGTGCAAGCAAAAACAGACTTTATGCTATTAGAAAGTCTTGTTGAGATTATTTTTAATTGCGATATAAACGTCGGAATTTTATTTACAGAATTCGCACGGGATAATTAAAGTTCTAGTAAAATAATGGTTTTGCTGTTGGATCACCTTAGGTACTGCAGTGCAAATTGACGCGCTTTAAAAAAAAAACCATAGTAAAATGACAAAACAAAAATTGTTTAAATCCTCATCTGGCATAAATATTTTCTGCACGTCCGTCATTCCTTGTAGACACTCATTTATTTTTTCCTAATACCAAATTATGCAAAATAAACTTTCAGCAAATCGCGAATATTCAAATATATTTCTTTGTAAAAACATACTAAGTACTCCAACTTCATTGTCAGCCAAAGTATTGCAAGTGCAACTTCTAAAGCTTGTGTGCAATTATGGCACGTCTTTTTACTGCTGCCTTTTGGCAAAGGTCATCAAATACAAATAAAAACTGAATTTTCATCACTTAAGTTTTTAGTCCTAAAATATACATATACTATATAATGTAATGAGGAAGTTACCTTTATGCCCGGTTTCCGAAAGCCCGATCAATGTTAAAATCAACTAAATAGGTGTCAAATCTCTTGTCAAGTCATCTGATTGGTTGTTGATAATTCAGTCAACCAAAGATTAAATTGTATTTAACACTGAACTGCCTTTCGGGAACCAGGTGTTAGATTTACATTAAAAAACCGTGCTATTCCTGAGAAATTTTCGAAAAACTTTTGATTTTGATTTTGCCTGACTTAACAAATGACTATTTCCTCATTGTTGCGCATGCGACCACTCAATAATATAAATAACTAGCGGTCGCTCGCGGCTCCACACGCTTGGATGGCGATGTTTAACGTTTTTAACGTTTTTCTACACGTACAAACCTTTCCTGGACTTCCACGAATAACTCAAGACCAAAATTAGTAAAGGCATTGTTGAGTTATAACATTACAATGATTTTTTGGAAGATTTAACAAGAAAAACATGCATGACAATGTACAATACCTCTACAATTTCCTAACACAGAATAAAAGTACCCAACCCGTAACCCCTAAGCATTTCACCCAGCGTTATCCAATATTCGATTACAGATGGTCTAATAGAATTTGGCAAGGAAGGCGAAACTCTACCTCTGCTGCAGTACAATGATATTAACCCTCTTGAAATTAAATACTTTAGTTTCGCTGCGTGGACGGGCGTTGAAGCTAAATTCTTGTACGACTGTCCAATACCCACTGGTGGATGTAAGTGCTCAGTTATTTTTTATGTTTTAAAACTGGATGTGGTTATTGCCTGAGTCTGTGTTCCCATAAAAGTATGTGGTGGGTACCTGGGTGTTACTTATAGGTAATAGGTAAGTTACTGCGAGATAGCGGAAAAACAGCCAGCTCATTACTGATGAAAAAAAAATTAAATTTTTGAAAATGGAATGGTGAAATGAGTTCTTTAATAACTCTTATTTCTCTTTTGTCAAGTCACCTACATATGATCTAAGCAAATAAGAAGTTTTGATGCACAGACCAAAGAAACTAAACCGAGTTTAAAATCATGTTCTATCGTTGTAATTACGCAAAAAACGCGATTTTTTTAAATTGGATACTAAATCTTGTTACATTCAATTTTGATACATTTGTCATACAGAAACTGCTCAATATTTTTACCATTTACAGCTTCGCCCAACTCTAAAGAGATTGAACCTTCAATGTCAATATCTGATCAGCTGAAGAGGACTCTTCTGTTATATCGGTTGCCATGGATACCCCCAAAACCGACCATGGATGTAAAAGTAGGAATTAAAGTGACCAATGTAAAATATGATCCGTTTATTTCGAAACTCAGCACTTCGATGTCTATTGTCACTGTAAGTACTATATACTTCTAATACTTTAAAGCTGGAGCAATTGTTCGTAAGAACGCGCGGATCTACGGAACTGCTGGTTCTAATACAATAATACATTTTGTGTTGGATAGATCATTAGTAGAAGAAAACTTTTTAAATATAAACAATGATACGATCAATAAGAGTCGAGCAGCTTGTGAAATTTCATGAAAGTAGCTAGTAAAAATAAAAAAAATTAACAGCCTATGATAGTTTTTCTCTGGAGAGGAATCTTGAATATATTTCAAAAAACAATTGAAAGTTGAAAATTCTAACAAAATGGTTAATAATGACTCTTTTCAGAGTTGGACTGATGAAAGCATGTCGTGGTACTCAGGCAAATATGGAAACATTACAAGTCTCAAGTTTCGACAAGGACAGATATGGAGACCTAAGTTTTATATTTTTAAGTAAGTGACAACCATTTTTATTTATACCTATATATATGTATGTATCCACAGCCATTGAAATGTTGTTATCATTTGGATATTTAAAATTACCTATACCTCTTTCCATATTAAGGTTTAAGAGTTTCGTTTGACTGACTTTATCTTACACTTTCATAGAAATAAGGGTGACATTAACAGCATATAAGTTTTTACAAACCATCAACGTACATATTTACCATTTATCATTCCACCAGCATAATAAAAGTCAAAATCGGTCGAATGAACAGCAAAAACGGTTTTATTTAATTCTAGCGACCCGCCCCAGTTTTGCCCGGGTACAATGCTGATACAAAATTTCTCACCTATTTAATGAATGTTATTACACATATAAAAAAACATCTAATTTAAATATAGATCAGCAAACGAGCAGACAGATTACCTGATGGTAAGCAATCAGCGCCGCCCATGGACACGCACAACATTAAAGAAGTTGTTGTCGAGTGCGTTGCCGGACTTTCAGGGATAAAGGTTGAGGCTATTTAAGGATTTGGAAGGGATGGGGGCGGAGGAAGGATTGGGCCTCCGGTGACCTCACTCGCACGGCGAAACACAACGCTGTGTTGTTTCACGCTGGTTTTCTGCGAGGCTGTGGTATCACTCCGGTCGAGCCGACCCATTTACGCCGAAGCTTGGCTCTCCTACACTTAATCCACACGTTATATTATTTTGCATCAAGAAGATTAGATTTCTTAACTCTTAACTGTCACCAACGAAGCAATATTTTTATACCATAATAATGTCTTAAAGAGTATAAATTAAAAATCTCTTTGACATTTTCTGACAGCAAGTTATGATGGAGGAATGGAAATTCAATAAAGTTGAAAGTTCCAATAAAAAATTAGGTCGCATCAGGAAATCATTAGTGAATTCTTCAATATCGAGTTTTAAATACCTGTCTCATCAGCCGGGTAGCTGAGCTTCTCAAAGTTAATTACCCTTTCCTTAGATATTATTAAAGAAAACGTTAAGAGAGTTTGAACTGTGAGTTTCAACTTTTTTTTACACCCACAGGGTTTTTTCAACATTTTACGCTAACAGATAAACCGACCTTTTAGGAAAGTATTAGAGTTGAAAATCATATTAGAATAAGTTATAAATATTTTTTGTAATATAATGATCTTATCGTCCAAATATGAGTCAGTTCACTCAAAATATTAGATTTACTGAAGAGGTATTTAATGATTACTTAAACTACTCCTAAGTAATGATTTTGTTACAAAAACATTTAGTAAGGAACCTTGGTTTATTAAAGACCGGCCTTTTAGATTATAGGTTTTGAACTACAATTTGTTTATTTATTAAACATACTTACATACATATTGTTACACCTATATCCACTTGGAGTAGACAGAGACATAACCAAGTTCAGCTGATTTTAGCTAAAACCTTTCGCTTCAAACTTGCATAAACTGTTTAGGCACTTCATGTATTATTATGAACTGTAAAACTGGACTCTTCTTACATTTACTTCTAACGTTTATTCTTTTTTTTATCTTTATTTTTTTAGGGACTTGTGGTTATGACACTAACCATGTCAGCCCCATCGTATCTCGTAAATAACATTATTAAACATACATTGTGCTAAAAAGAGTTTAAAAAGAGAAATATGAATTAAACTACTTCTAATACTACTTCTTATTGATTGAGACACCTCCTGACAAACTTATAAATGTTATTATATAAGTAAGTATAAGTAAGTATATTAATATAAGCTCCTTCACTAGAAGGGCTGGATAATATACAGGGCAAGGATCCCAAATCTAACCTATTGATGTTTAAATCTGTCAATAAGATGTTCCTTTCCCTCCGGTAACGGGCACATTCTTTATTTAAAGTTTCTGTTCTCAATTTCGTATAAAAGAAAAATAATAAAAATTCAATTGAAACCTAAATATTTTCATTTATTTATCAGCCGTCAATAGTTTACATGTAAAGTTTAAAAACAGTAGTTAACATAAGAATTTTATATCGCTTTATCGTGGTCCTTCGAGGCGAAACCGCAAGCAAAATCTATAACCAAATATTCTCCGTTTGAAGTTCTTATATTTGATTAGCACATCGGTATGCCTAAGACATGGTAAAGCTCAAAGCCATCACCGTCTCATGAATATACTATGAATAAATAATGTTTTAACCTACTATCTACTTCGATTCGAAACGTTAACTTTACCATCTTGTATTCGACCGGATCGAAGGACCAAAATAGAATTTGGTCTTGGTGAATAGTTAAACGTTGTATTAGTTGCAGAACTTCTTTTTTTAATTGTAGGTTACACATGTGACTAAAAACTAACTGCCGTACCTAACCTAACCGTACCTAGCAGTTCATTCGTAAAATTGGATTGTCTAAGATAAATGGTCTAATTCAACACTTTTTTTTGAATTAACTTAATTTAAGTGTGGGAGAGCCATGCTTCGGCACGAATGGGTCGGCTCGACCGGAGTGATACCACGGCCTCACAGAAGACCGGCGTGAAATAACCACTGCGTTGTGTTTCGCCGTGTGAGTGAGGTTACCGGAGGCCCAATCCTTCCCCTTCCCCAATCCCTCCTCAATCCCTAAATCTCCAAATCCCTAATCCCTAAAAGGTCGGCAACGCACTCGTAACTCCTCCGTTGCGAGTGTCCATGGGCGGCACTGATTGCTTACCATCAGGTAATCCGTCTGCTCGTTTGCCGAGCTATTACATAAAAAAAAAATTAACAAAATCAAAAGTCTCTGTAAAAGTCTGAACGTTTGCCGGCTTATAACCTAAAAAATGTTTTTCAGTTCTGACAAGCAGATGCCACTCGAAGCAATGTATTCAGATTTAGTCTCAATGGCGAACACTGGCGAAGCGACCTTTCATTTCCAATCCACGGTTTCCACTTGGTGCGTCGATACACCACCCGGCTACAGCAAGTAAGTTTACATTACATCATTTCATTATATCCACATCACTTTAAGCAAAATAATTTACGCTATTTGTTTTAGCTCAAAATAATTGATCGTGTTTAAGTTTTGTTGTTCAGGGGTTAAAACGTCCGTTTCTGCATGAGGGATTCGAAAACTAACAATCACCTATGTGACTTTTTCCGAGATATGTGTATAATACTTTCTAAGTTTCTCCGTGTGAAAAGAGGCCTAAAGTCTAGCAATGGGAACTTATTAAATATATTGGGTTTTTGCCTTAGGCATTCTATAACTTATATGTTTGTTTAAATAACAAAAGACTTTGACAAAAAGTGGCCTTAGAATCAAAAGCCGTACACTGGGCAAAATCATAGAAAATATTTGGATAATCTTTATCCACAGGTGGCCACGTGACGAATACTTGTGCTCTATAGTAATTCAACCGTGGGAAGCACACGAAAAGATCTCAATAGACATTATTGAACCAAATAATAGCAAAATGCACATTGTAAGTATACATTCAGATGTTCATAATATTTTTTTGTATTCTTCTATCCTTATAGGATTCTTTAAAGCAAACCTTTGAATCAATAACATTTTGTTTTTATTCCTTTAATTACTTACAACAAGTGATGAATGTATTCTAATTCAAAATCATTTATTGCGAAAATAGGTAACAACTACATGGATACATTAAAAGGTTTCGTAACTCCATAATCAGCTTGAAGGCTGCTTGTGCAAATTAATTAAGATAAAATTTATAAAACGTAATAATAATAAATGTCAGTTAATCATCATCATCATCATCATCATCATCAGCCTGTTGTCGTCCACTGCTGGACATAGGCCTCCCCAATTGCACGCCACTGAGCTCGATGTTCAGCTCTTCTCATCCAACCACTGCCAGCCACCCTGCGGATGTCGTCAGTCCACCTAGCTGGAGGGCGCCCTACACTACGTTTGCCTAGACGTGGTCTCCACTCTAGAACACGTTTACTCCATCGGTCATCGGTTCTTCGACAGATGTGACCTGCCCACTGCCACTTAAGTTTGCTAATCCTTTGGGCTATGTCGATAACCTTAGTTCTCTGTCGGATCACCTCGTTTCGAATACGATCCTTCAGAGAGACTCCAAGCATAGCCCTTTCCATAGCTCGCTGAGCGACTTTAAATTGGTGGATCAGTCGCACTGTAAGTGTCCACGTCTCGGCTCCGTATGCCATCACTGGTAGGACGCACTCATTGAAGACTTTTGTCTTCAGGCTTTGCGGTATCTTTGACGAGAATACCCGACTGAGTTTCCTATACGCTGCCCAGCCAAGCTGTATCCTCCTACGAGCCTCCCTCTCGAAGTTGTTTCTACCGAACTGGATAGTTTGCCCGAGGTAGACGTACTCTTGAACAACCTCGAGAGGAGATCCATTGATGGTGATCGGCTCCGGGAGAACATGTTCATTGAACATGACCTTCGTTTTTTGTAGGTTCATCCGGAGTCCGATGCGAGCAGAGGAATCAGCCAGGCTGTTCAGCATATATTGTAAGTCCTGCACGGTTTCAGCCACGATTACAATGTCATCTGCAAATCTCAAGTGTGAGAGATACTTGCCGTTAATATTTAGGCCCCGGCCTTTCCAGCGCAGCGTCTTGAACATATCCTCCAAAGCATTAGTAAACAGTTTGGGGGAAATAACGTCCCCCTGTCTTACGCCCCGATGCAGGTGGATAGGTTCAGACTGCTGGTTCTGTACTTGAACGACCATAGTGGCAGCATCATATAGATCTCTCAACACTTGAACATACCGCCAGTCGACTTGGCACCGTTGCAAGGACTCCAGAACAGCCCAGGTTTCGACAGTATCAAAGGCTTTCTCGTAGTCCACAAACGCCAGGCATAAGGGCAGATTATACTCTTCGGTTTTCTGTACAATCTGCCTCACTGTATGTATGTGGTCCACGGTACCATATCCCCCTCGGAACCCGGCCTGCTCAGGGGGCTGAAACTCGTCGAGTCTTCGCGCGAGACGATTTGTTATGACCCTGGAAAACAGCTTATAGACGTGGCTCAGAAGAGAAATAGGTCGGTAGTTCTTCAGAAGGGTTTTGTCTCCCTTTTTAAAGAACATAATGACGACACTTTTGCCCCACGCCCTTGGAGTTCTCCCCGAGAATAGAACGGAATCAAACAAGCGTTTAAGTCGCTCAAGCACTGGCTTTCCACCGGCCTTTAGGAGCTCCGTTGTAATTCCATCCTCTCCGGGGGCTTTTCCATTTTTAAGCTGCTTCAAAGCCAACGCAATCTCGTCTTGGCTGATCTCTGGCATGTCTTCGGTAAAGTGGCGGATAAGTGTGGCCCTAGGATCCCCCGAGTCTCGATATGGACGCGGTGCTTTTGAGGTGTACAGATCACCGTAGAAGCGCCGAACCTCCTCGAGAATTTCCGGCTTAGAAGAGACGATATTACCATCCGGTGTGGTCAACTTCGTCAGATGGCTTCGATTTAATTGCTGGCTGAAGACTTTTGACCCCCGGTTTCGCTCAATCGCTTCTTTTATAGCGCGAGTATTGGCGCTTCGGAGATCACGTCTTATCAGCTTTGAGATCTTTTTATTAAGATCTGACGAAGCGACTGATGGGTTGTTACGTCGCCTCTCCATAACCTGTAGGCACTCTCCCGAAAGCTTGGCGCCCCTGCCGGTATTCTGCTTCCGCCATAATCTCGTCCCTTCGTCTCGGAGGATCCCTACTGTTTGGTCAAGTTCCTGGTCGATATCAATGTCATTTGTGGTTTCCAAGGCAGCAAATCGGTTTTCCAGTTTTAACTGAAATGTTTCAGACCCAACCACGGCTTGGAGCAAGTTTGGTCGGAGCGTAGACTTCATGAGACGGACACGCTCGGAGTCATATTTGATGTTTAGAGTGCCTCGCACAAGTCGGTGATCACTTCCGGTATTAAACCTATTGATCACTGAGACATCTCTAAATATTCGTCTCTTGTCCGTCATAATGAAGTCTATTTCATTTTTGTCATAGCGTCGGGGCTCCGCCACGTCCACTTCCGTTGGGGCTGCTTCTTAAAGAAGGAGTTCATCAAAAATAGCCCCTCTTTTTCCAGGAAGTTAACGAGCATTTGCCCCCTATGGTTCCTGCTTCCAAAACCATGTGGTCCTACTACCGACTCGCCGCTAGTCTGTACTCCCACTTTAGCATTGAAGTCTCCCATGACAACGTTGAAATGGGCCTTTTGGGTGGTGTGTAAGGCCCTGGAAATGTCTTCATACAATTCCTCTACCTCATCATCCGAGTATGTCGAGGTAGGTGCGTACACTTGGATGACCTTTAGGTTATACCTCTTGGTGAGTTTGATCACAAGGTACGCTACCCTTGCTGACACACTGGAGACCTCAACAACGCTGTCTGACAGAGATCTGTGGACCAAAAACCCGACGCCACCCTGTGATGGTTGGTCTCCTTCCCTGTAGTACATGAGGTGGCCAGACTCCAAAGTTACGGTATCCTCTCCCTGTCTTCGGACTTCACATAACCCCAGGATATGCCACCTCACGTTTTCTAGCTCCACCTCTAACTGTGCCAAATGTTCATCGAGCCGTAGCGTGCGTCCGTTATACGTAGCCAGAGTCAGTTGGTGTTGTCGGCCTTTCATAGCCCGGAGATTCTTAGCACCCCCTACCCCGCCGTTACTATGACCGCCGACTTGGCCAAGAATAGCGGGGCGACCGGGAACTGGGGGCCGTTTCGTTAGGCGTGCCATTAGAGGTAATGCCCGTAATCACCACGCTGGGCAGGCGGGTTGGTGATCGCAGGGCGTAGCTCCTCGCACTAGTGACGCTGCTGCCCGACACTAGTCTGCTGAATTTGTCTACGCCTACATTTTATGGTTATACCGCCATGAGTCGGTCGCCAGAGCCTCGTTCGTTAATCAGCAGGATGCACCACGAGCAGGTGAGGTTGACTGGGGCACTAAGATAGTATTTTCCCCCTTACATCCCATTACATGTCAGTTAATATTATCAATAAAATGCAAATTTGTTCTACATTCATAGATCTATATCGCCAACCTTGTAGTACTCTGCACATCGTTCGGTTTACTTAAGGGCTTCCTGTTAATAAGACGAAATATAAAATTAATTTTATTTATTTTGATTTTTTTTATGTTTTGGTTCCTACGTATAATTGGCTTGCAAACTATTGTGGTTGAAATTAAAGTATACTATTTTAATGTTTTACATATATCAATGACAGAAATAGAAATAATGTACCGTTATTATTTATAGTTTTCAGATGTGGATAAACAAATTGAAAATCAATGGGAAGTGAGTATAAAGCAATTGGTGATAAAGCCGACGGTATGGAACCAAGTTTATATCAGTGATGACAACGAAACACATCAGAGTGATCGACTTATACTCAGCCTACAATTGAAAAGAAGAGCCACTGCTTTCAATATTGTATTCTATACTCCTTTATTGGGTAAGTGCTAACTAGTATAATAAAATAAATAATTCTTTTTGCCTTGATTTGAAAACCCATAATATACCAAAATGGCTTTATTAAGTAATATTTTCACAGTGACCCTAAGATGACTCCTTGTGGTAGCCCATACATAAGCATTTCGTGTGAATGAATATCATTTCATAACCTCATTACAAAAACACGTTACAATAACAAAATTCAAAAGAAAAATATGTCTGAACAACAGGATCGATTCAAATTTTATATCCGGATATTTTGTCTTTTGGATTTTGACACTTTTAGTAGATTTTTGATTATGTGAAGCTACTAAAGACTTACCTTCGATTCCCTATGTTCCAGTACTCTTGATGTTCGTTCTAATGTCGTTTTGGAGCGAACCTCTGACTATGGAAAGGATTTGGTTTCTCGCTGGATGTACCATTGTAATTACTATGGGACTCTGCTATATGGACTTCTTAATACCTTCACACTTGATACCTTCTATCCGTGAGTAATTGTACCATCACCTTGATTTACGATAAGTCTCATATTTAGCAACTAAACAAACATTAAAATTTACTACATATCATTAAGCAGGTATTAACGCGAAAAGAATTTATTGAAATACCTTTATAGGCTTGACGTTTCGACCTGATTGCATAGGTCGTGGACACAAGCAGACTCGAAGCCTACCAAGTTATTACATTAAAAACTATTCGCGTTAATACCCGCGTAATTATATGATGTAATTATGAATCGCGAAAGTTTAAAAGTTAGTATAACATTAAAAATATCGTAATCAGTTACATGTCTCAATATTTTTGTAATTAGTCAGTCATGAATTTAATATTTTACGATTGCAGCGTAAAATTTAATATTTTACGCTGCAATTCAACTTTAGTGTCTTTTAATTTAAACCACTGAGCCAAACCATTATATTTCTAAATTGTAGGACATGCTATTATTATATCTAACCTTCTTTTTTAATTTCAGTGATATTTTATACTACAGTTTTAATGGGCGTACTGATAGCGCTACTGATTCAAGCACTGCTAATAACAGATGTATTTGAAAAGTTCCGTAACTTAGCATTTGTGCAGAAGATTTTGAATGCACACGTATTTAGAATAATTTTCTGGCTACCAGCATACACGGTATGGTATATTCTAAATCGTTACACTTTTTTTTCTATAATACCTATCTACGTCTACCTACCTATCTACCTACTCACGTGTGTAATTGAGAAAAGCTCTACTAGTTTCGAACCATAGTACGCTGCGCGACGTCGCCGCGTCCGCGCACGCTGCTCATGAGGAAGAACCCCTCTGTGGTTAGAAACTAATAGAGCTTTTCTCAATTACACACGTGAGTAATCCGCGATTTTTAGTTTTTTTTTTCTATTTTACCAGAAATTTATAATATTTTTGGGTGACAAACTTTTTTGGTAGTAGAATTATGGTAACAAAAATAAGGCTATATATAGTTAATTTTAATAACAAAAATTATCCATAAACATATTATTTGATTATACTAAGGTCTGTCTTCACAAGTAAATTTACATTTTGCTTTTAATATTTTATATAAATATAATAGAAGTTCAAAAAGTAACTTAATTATTTCGATTTTAAAACATAATACTCTTTGTGTTTGCCATGCAAATTTCCAGAAATCATCAAACAGGAACGGAGGATACTCATTGCAAGAAGATGAAGAACCACAGTCTCCGATAACAAGAGGTGATGTAGAAGAGATGGAGAAAGAAACGCCAAGGACATGTGGAGACAAGAAAGAGTTAGCGGAAGTTATAGACAAAATTATGTTCGTGATTTACTTCGTTACTTTCATTTCTATGTTAGCTGCACATTACTGAGTATTTTTTGGCGTGTTGAGTAAAGATTTTAAGAAAATTAGATTTTTATTGATACCAACTTTTTTTGTATTTTCTGACATTTTTGATAAAAAGTGTTTCATGAACATTGATTGATCATTAAAAGTGTGTCTACTACAACGACCATGTAGGTGACCTACATTTCTAACTCACTTTCGACCTTTTTATAAAAAATCATATTAAGAGAATAAAATTATTAACTGCAATTGCAAAACTTAACCTAACCTCCGGACTACCATTATCCGATCCAATAAATCATGATTTGTAAATATTGATGAATGAACACACCTTTACCTATTCTTTTGAGTATTTTTAATCTTTTCATTCTCATCCAATATCGGATGTGAGGGGAAATATCCCAATTTCCATAGTTTAAGGAATCAATGAAAAATTTCGCAGCGTTTATTATTGCCAAGCGTTGGCATGCAAATTCCTTTTACATCGCTCTTTTTTATGAAGTCCAATTTACTTTGTATTTCGCCTTTTATTTATTGATTGGATATTACATGCGTTGAATGTTCCTTCTTTATTGGATAAAGAGATGTGTGATGCGTTATAGGTTTTTTTTTAATTCTGCTCAGAATTATGGTGTCTACTGTTTTGTTAAGATGCAATAAGCTTATAATAAAAATAGGGTTCTAATTGATTTCAATAATAATGATGATGACCAGTTTAAGTAGACTAGACTACTACGTAGAAGATATCATAGTGTGCAAGTATGTCGGTAGAAGAGCACTCTGAATTCCTCGCTTGCTCAATCCGATGGGCCGATAGACTGACACGACAGAAGAGAGGTAAGGGACAAAGTCAATGGTTTTACCTGTTTTGTAAGCTACAGGGATTGAAATACCACCGAACTCTCTGACTTAGGGCCAATGGTCTTAAGTCAGAGTGGTTTAATGTAAAATTGGTCTGGTCACCCAACTACTGCACCAGTGATGCAGTTACCTCACAATACAATGAACCTAAGTATGACAACTACAGGAAAGTTCAGTACAACAAGCAGGGGCTTCTTTCTATTCATGTTTTTTCCAGCTAAAGTTGAACCTAAGTGATTATGGACTTTTCATGTGCCTAATTATAGTTTATACTAAAACTACATCTGTTTTTGTTGGTAATAGATAATCTTGAAAAACAATTCGTCCAGTTTTTAAATCATCCGTTACAAATGCTACTTTAACAACTAATAATAAAGGCTGCATTACATTCCATTGTCGAATGAAAACAAGACCAAAAAGCAACACAAACAAAGTCGCAAGAGAATCGCTATTATAAATAGAATAAGAAAGAAGAAAAAGGTTGATAAAAAAGACTATAATTTGCAAAACAAACTTCTTATTTAATTTTGCAATCGATAGTTGCTTATTTACATTTATTTTAAAAGATATAGTAATATATATTTTTAATTACAATCATAATTGGATGTAGTTTGGTCAGTTGCTGTTTTTTCTAATATTTACTTTTTAAAGACCTCTTTCTAAGTGTTTGTGTAACCTAGTTTCGTAAGATCAATTTTTGTAGTAATACTTATGCATGAACAAAAAGGTTTTTATAAAAAAAATTAACAACTCTGGGCCCATATCAGAGATAAGCCTGTACTATTATGAATGGCATTTGGACAATTTTAGACTTAATGCTTTGAAAAATCTTAGATTTTCAATGCGATAGTTCGGCAAACGAGCAGACTGATTGCCTGATGGTTGAAGCAATTGGCGCCGCCCTGGGTACCCGCACCACAAGAGGAGTTATGAGTGCGTTGCCGGCCTTTTGGGGATTGTGATTGTGGCAGTAAGGGATAAGAGACAAATGGTGTTAGGGCAAAGGATTGATATGATTATTAATCTATTGATTAGAAACACAACGCTGTGATTGTTTCACACCGGTTTTCTGTGCGGCCGTGATATCGTTGCTCTCCCATGCTTAATTTAAAATATAAATGACATATAAATTCAATAAGTCTGTTCGTTATTAAGTTTTTATGAAACCATGACCGTGTTCAGTATTTCTTCTAGTGACAACAAAGCAAACGAAAGAATATGAGTTATATAAGTCCTCCTTTAATATTCGCCATTATTTTTCTCCAAACAGAACCATGCGAAAAGCAAATTCATGATAATCGTTCAAAGAACAGCCAGCCAGCTTGAAGAAAGTTTCTCACAATTGTAAAGTACAAATGTTGCCGTAATGGATTAATGAATGTACGTCAAACTCGACGAATGAGCCTCAGTTTATAATATATTGTTTTGTAAGGCACCTGTGTCGAAAAGTTGTTCGGATCGTTGAAGAATTCGTGTAAACTTTCTAGAGTTTGATTTTGAAAGTAGGTAGCAGATTTAGACTTGACATTATTTTGGATTTTGAGGATAGGTCCCTCGCGCGCTTCGCCTCCTCCTTTGCTACTTGGCAGGAAGAAGAGATGGCTTTCCAGTTTCTTTCGCTCCGCACTATGGCCTCAGCTAAGGCCGGACGTGTAGAACCACCGCCACCGATCACTTCCCTAAAGACACATCGGTACTCAACCCAATTTCGTCAGCTATCTTTTTATAACATAATAAAACCATGTTGATTGCACCACAACATGGCATCTCATTATAAATCACTACATACTATTAAACAAAGTCGCTTTCTCTGTCCCTATATCCCTACGTATGCTATAACCTTTTAAACTACGCAACGGATTTTGATATGGATTTTTAATAGATAGAGTGATTGATGAGAGCTTTCTATGTATGATAACACACATCAAATAGTGAAGAGATTTGGTATCAGCATTGTACCCGTGAGAAGCCGTGGCGGATCGCTAGTAAAAATAATTGCAAAATTTTATAATGATACAATATTCAGATTTAGAATAGTGTAATTCCAATTTTAAAATTTTATTAGATTATTTGTTACAAGTCGACCTAATAAAACCGTGTCGAATGATATGTTCGAATCGAAAAAGAGATAAACAACTACACACATCACAAATGCCAGACGTGTCAGCTACAAGTAACGAGTACGCTCAAAAAAAAAACTAAAACAAAATAAAAATTTACGCACAAAATGCAATTTCGAATCTAGTCGTTAGTTAGAGCATTCGATATTTGAAACGCGATTTGTTTATTTTTAGAGAGGATATTATTACTATGGATATCTGAAAAAACGTCGTGGCCCAGAATCCCAGGCGTCTGTTTTTACGCATTAGGGCGACAGTTCGATATCTAGTAAATACCAATGTGAATTTTTCTGAGTTATATGTACTTTCCATCATTACTTAGACACCACTTAGATACGGAGAAGGAAAACGTCGTGAGGAAACCTGAACTTTATCATTTCTATTTATAAGTTTGAAATATATTCAATGCGACTTAGCAAGCGTGATGATTAATGCTCAAACCTTCTCCGAGTGAAAAGAGGTCTTCACTCAGCAGTGGGAACTTATAGACTGATGATGTGTGAAATAAAAATATATAACTGTCTCTTTTTCAAAAGTTTTGGATAAATAATTTCTCTCACACTATAGCTGGAACTGTTGCACCTCCTGTAAACCAGGATCTACATTAGATACAACCATGAAACACCGGAACACTGAAGTCCAGCGCAGTCCAGCGACATGAATTACTGTCGTGAATCTCGCTACGAAATAAATCAGATGATATTATTTGAGGAGAAGACAAAAAGTGAGTCAGGTTACCAGAAACCCAACCAAGTTTTCAGGCTCTGGTGATAACTTCACCAGAGGCTGGACACAAATTACTTCTGACGAAGAAGATAGGCCATTAAACTTATTTAGTACAAGCTACTCTCGCGCAGTTTCACTCGTTGCTACTATACCTACATTGTAGCGTGATGTTTTATAGCACGTGGCACTCAGAAACACTGTAGCTATCTATCAGTGAAAGAAATTGAAAATCCGACCAGCGGTTCCATAGATTACTCTTACATACAAACTTACAACTTACTTATTTATAATATTAGTATAGATATAACACCTAGTTTTCATCACTTATAATCCGACTAAGAGCTTTTCTATATATAAAGGACAACAAACAAGGAACAAAGAATCGATTTAAAATCGATAACACCTAGTTATCGAGTTAGTTAGCATCGATTGTGACGTAGCGAGCGTGAACATCTAACTGTCCGTCACGGATCACTGGGCGTCGATTCGCAGTGTTAAACTGTGCCCACAATAAGCGGTGAATGAAATATTGTCAGGCTAGTAGTTTTAACATACACAAATAATATTTTAAAACGTTTATGTACTTTGTAGGGTTTTTAGATTAATGGCGAAAAATGGAACGCTTATATTAATCATCACTATCCACCAGCTTATATTAATCATCTCTATCCACCAGCAGCATACGATGCAGCAACTTTTTTCCGAAACTAGAAGAACAATACTGTTTTATTTTGATAAACAAATGTATTCTGGTGATCTGCTTTAAGTTTTTTAGAAAAAAAAATTACTTCATACATTTTTATTTAGTTAAAAAGAAAATAATATTCAGTAATTATTTTATATTTTTGAATTCGGTGCCAACCAAGTAAATATATTTTTTTTGCGGAGGGGGAAATTTATTGATGGATTTCACTTCCCTCGTCCAGGTTGAGGCGAGAGGTAGTGTCAGACTCTTACTGACTAAAAACCACCCCGTCCCTTCTCCTGCTCCAGGCCGGAGGCCGCGATACAATATCAGTAAAGGTGACAGTTTTTGTCCAAAAGGCTGAAGATGAATCTGATCATTGGATGATCATCATAGTAAAAAGTTTAGCTTAAATGATTTTGCGACCTTTTTATGTGGTGTATTGGACGCAATTGCAACATATTAAGGTCTAAATAATGTCCGAAATAATGTCCGAAACTGAGGTAACTTCAACATCTGGGCTCGGAATAGTCTGTAGAGAGTGTCGTACATGGTAGGGTGTTGTAAATGGCAGAGTGGCAACAATCCTTTCAGACTGGGCCGTAGCTAGGATATACGTTTTGACATTTAAATAATGAAATAACTGTAATGAAATAACAAA